TAGATTGCTGGCTAGGTGTACTTGATGGCTCTGTGCCTTCGTTGTTGAGGTCTACGCCTTCCTATTGCGAGGGAGCTCGGCGTATGGAGGGCGCAAGGCCAGACTCGCGTTGCGTTGAGACTGTAGATAATTGGGTAGCCAGGGGAGCAGTTGAGCGAGGCGCTGATGGATCAGGCGCGAAGGGAGCGGTGTTTCAGAGCCTACAGCGCAAGCTCTCAACGCGAGTCGAACTCCTAGTATTGTAGATAGTGATCCTCATCCGTTAGGGATCTCCCCAACCACTAGAAGGGGTCGAAGTCCAGCTTCACGAGCTGTAATTGCCCGCCCTGGTGCTTCTGAAGAAGCCTGTGTGAGCAGGGAATCCCCCATTGCGCAGTAAATTTGTTAGTACAGGCGGGCAAAGGCGCTGGGTTCGGCTTCGCTGGCGTAGGCACAGCAGGAAGCATCAACCGGTACTGCTGCTCAACCATCTTCAAGGCTTTGATGGCGATGTGATAGGGGGCAGTGCCAAGCCACGCCTTGCCAAGATACTCGCGCCGGATCGAGGTTTGCTGCTTGTTTCGCTCGTCTTTGATCTGTTCAGCCATCGAATCGACCATCTTGATGCTCTGTTCAACCACCTGCAGCACGGTACTGTTGCCATTGACCACGTAGCTCTTGATATACCGGTTAACCGATTCAACTGGCGATGTGGTGCGTTGGCCATAGTTGCGGCGCTTGTTGACGTAGCAGGTAGCCCACTCAGGAGCTATCACCATATAGGTCTGTTGAAGATACTCGATGATCGCCGTTTGCTCGGAAAAGAAGGCCTTGAGGCGCTCCCAAGCCGTATTGAAGCCATCTAGGTCTATGGCATACAAAACATGACCCCAGAGCTCGTAAATGCCAGCCATCGAGTGCTCAACTTGCGCTGGATCGGCTGGGGTAGCCCCTGGCTGGTGCGGATCAATTGCGATACGATTCAGCCGTCTCACAACAGCCATATCTTCGTCGTCAAGGCCCTCCTCGCGCAATTGGCTGCCTCGAGGCTGTTCCGCAGCGGGATCGCCGCGAATAGGGTCGCCCAGTGTGCCCTGGGTAGGCTGGTGATCATCAGTGTCACCCCCTTGCGTACCCTGGGTGCTGGCCCGAAGCTGGGCAGCAACGTGTTCGCGGCGTACCGCCTCGGCCGCCTTCTTATCCCACTTTCTCTTGATGTTCAACACTACGTTCTTGTTGACGTGGAAGATACAAATCTGAGGCGTGGCGAGAGGGTACACGCGCTGCACGGCATTCTTCATAGCTGTATCGTAGTCCGTGATGGTGGTCTCAGGGGCAGGAGCGCCAATCTTGCGGCGTTGGGCGTCAACTTGGTCCATGAGCTAGTCGAAGCCCTCCTGGCGCTCGTTACTTATAAGGCCAAAGGCACAGCTAAACGCCTTGCCGACGGGGGTCATACCAACAATCTGGAAGAGCGCAAGGCCCTTGTTATTCGTTCGGTAGGTGTTATCGTACATCTGGACCCTGTGATTATTCTTCCACTCCTCCGAACACCACGCAGGGCTCCAGAACAAGCCCAGAGGTTTGGTTGGGTCCTTAGGCGACCACAAAACGTTGTGCGAGATGCCCTTCTCGTCGAGAACTTCATCGTGGCTTGGAACGGTATGTAGCCATCGAGGCGTGCTTTGCGGAGCTTATAGCGCGTGTTTCTGACCTGGCGGCGCGTGAAGATGATGCCAGGGAACCGTTCTCGAAGGCCCTCGGCCAACTCTCGGTTGCTTATGGCAGGGCGGTCTCCAAAGGTAGCAATATAGTCTTTCTGCTCCTGAGTGAAGCGTCTCTTGATGACGCCGACTTCGTGGTTGTGCGCCTCAAACCCAGGCCGAATCTCGAGGGTCCAGCGACGGCCGTTGCCTGCCAGTGCCTTGGCCGTAGCTTGCCAGCTGCAATCCCGCTTGATGGTGCTTGTTGATCGAGACTTGGCCATGGAGGACTGTATCTTGCTTTGGGCGCAGCTGTAGTCGACCCTGGTGTACCCAAACTCCTTCAACTTATTCGATGAGCGCAGGCGGTAGATGCTGAAGCCGGCGCGTGCGGCGTAGTCGTATAGCTCGTCTTCTAGGGCGCTTAGGGTCTCGAACTGGCCCGCGAGAAGCTCATGGTCAGGCGCAGGGTTGGCTAGCGGTTGGGTAACTTCGCCATCGGAATTGCTCGCGGCATCGAGGTCTGGCGGCGCCGGAGCGGTGCCAGCCGAGCTCCTGCTCGGGCCCGGGTCAGCTTCCTGCCCGGGCCCTGCCCGGCTCCTGCCCGGCTCTGGCTCAGCTCTGGCTCAGCTCCGGGAAGGCGCCTCAAGGGCATGTGACGCCCTCGCTTATATGGAGGGCATGCCCTGCTAGGTTCCTGTAAACTTCCTTTTCTCTTCTTCAGATCGTTTCAATACCATACTACACGCCTGTCTGCAGCAAGCCACAAGGCCAGTGCATTACATAGTGGAAGAATTGGCTGGCAAGCAAGATCGAGGTGGGTCATGCGGCCAGCTGGCAGAATCACCGATGTACCTTTTTAAGGGTTAGGGGTATATATAGGGATTATAGTAGAAAGAGCTAGGGGCTACAGTAGAAATAGACACTCTCTTTCGAGAAGGCATCTGGCGCAGGGCGGGAGGGAAGAGAACGATAGCTTACTTCAATGTCTCAAAGGCGGCGGCGACCTCTTCAAGTGTCACTGCAGCCTGTGGCAGCAGTTAGCACTAATTTAATCTATACATCGACCTCCCTTCTCACACTGTTAAGTAAGGGAACCACCGCCACCCCTTGTTCTTGGCCGTGGCCTAGAAGGTTTTTAGCTTTTCATCTCTACTCAGAAGGGCCAGAACTGGTACATGTAACTATCAGAACAAGGAACCCCTTCTTTTGACACATAGCGTTGGCTTGAGCATCGGCACACCGATATCATTGATGTCACTTACCGACACTTTTAAACGTCCCTAGAAATGGTCGAGAAGAATTTAGGAAGGGAAGACGACGGCACCGAAAGAATTTGGTGCTGTTTATATGCTTATTCCTTTCTAGCTTTATCCACACTACTTAACATGCCAATATAGGTACCTAGGCACGTGCAGTAACAACTCGAAGCAACCTAGCATGTCAGATCTGTCTGAGGTGGTGGTAGTGGGTACCAGAATCGCTTGGAAGCTCGCGTTGCCAGGGCCAAGGAAGGTGCAGATTTGACGGCTAGAAATACATGTACACACTTAGGCCACCTTGAAGGTAGGAGAAGGACATAAGCACCCTGAG